TGTCTCTATTTACCGTCAGATTAATATTAAAGGTAAGCTTCAGTGCTCCTCTGAGAATCTCTTCCATTTCAGCCCGTATTTGCTGACAAACATATTTGCATAGCAAAGCTGTCCATGGTATATCTATCATGTCTGTATCATTGTACTTGAATAATTTCTTCAAGTGAGATTTTATGAAATACTCAAACTTTCATCTTGATTTACATCTATTGCTTTCAATAGCATTTTAACCCAAAACAGCAATGAGTCCTTGTTCTATCATTTGTCGTCTTCATTCATTCACTCTTTGTTTTCCCCACTCTTAAAAAATCTAGTATATATAAGCTAATGTAAGTAATTTACTTTTTCTTACTAACTAATCTAGACCTAAAGTCTATTTAATTTTCAGCAGTTCCAGAACTGGTGACTCCAACTGTTAACTCCAAGGTGAAAGTGCCTCCGTTTCCATGCTAGATTCCAGAACAACTTGCCAGGCAGTAATATCTGATACAGAATTACAGTAGCCGAGCACCTTGAAAAGCATTTTGCAGGGGAAGGGGAGCAGGTTAAGGAAAAACTGTGTAGAACTAATGTAAAGGGCTTAGCTCATTAAACTCATGCCTTAGGCTACTGTCATAAAGAGCACCCGAAAGCTATGTTGGCTGTGTTGCTCTCCCCAAGAGCTTTTTTTTTTTTATTATTATTACTATTAAATTCTTGTTCTTTGTGCACATTCCTGCTATGATACAGGGGGTTCTTAAAACATGTTGAAAGCTTCCCTGCAAACTCAGAGCAGGCACACGTGCTGCAGTCCCAGCTGTGCTGGCTCAAGGCAGTGCTGCGCCCACCAGCGCGGCAGCCCTCCCCTGCTCACCCTTCTTGTCCCCCCGAGCTCTGCTCCGGCAGTATCTCAAAGCAGGTCGTGGATTTCTGCTTGTTTGGTTTTTAGAAGGCCCACTGTAAGTCACATATGTCAGGAGCTGAGGATTTCATGTGCCGCACTGTGAGAAGCAAGGGATGCGTCAGGAAGTCTCTCATACTCACGTTCCTGACAAAATACCCATAGCATGAAACCAAGGGCTTGCATTTGCTACCTGAGCTTCTCCCAGGAGAGCTTCCCCACCTTGAGGAGTCTCGGCTGTTCAGATACCTTACATACTTGAAAAAGAGGTGGGCTAATACAGCTTCTGTAGCTGCAGCGGGGGTACCAAGGTGGTTTGTGCTCCAACTCAGCTGGAGCTGGGCGAGATCATGTGGACTCAATAATTAAACAGACATCTCCTTCCAGAGATGCTAGCTGGCCAAAACTTGAGTGCTGGCCAGTCTGCTGCCACAAATCATAGCGCGCCTTTCTCGTCTCGCAGCGTCACATTTCCCCTCAAGCTTCTGTGCAGAAGCAAAACGGGAGGAAACATCCTCAAATGCATGTAGTGACACAGTTACGTGTCATGTAAGTAGCACATGCTCAGTACAAAGACAGCCATAGTATTTTTTTTTTTTTTTTGGTAGAGAATAAATATTCCTTGTGCATAGGAAAGGAACATGCAGGTGCTTTATTATATGGGAAACTGCTGGGCTGTGTCCTGAAAAGCTTAGTCTTCCTGGCATTAGAAATGTAACTTTGTGACCAGATGTTGATGCTAATGGAGTTACAGCACTGGGCTTGAACTGCCCAGTGGGAAATAGCTTTTAAAATGTCGTAACTTAAACTTTGATTTAGTGTGTTGCATAAAAATGCAAACTTACATTTGATACATTCTCTTTTTCATTAGTGCTTTGCTCTACGAACAAAAGCTCTTACTTAACAGCTTGTTAAATTCTGCTGCATATGCTTCCTCCTTACTAACTCTTCCTCCTCTTGTTGAATACCATTCATAGAAATGCAGAATATTTTACCATGTCGGGGACCTGCAGGTCATCTAATTTGGACGTGATCTAGCTTGCTTAAAGTGGGCAGGTTGCTCAGGGCCTTGTCTGCCTGAGCCTGTGCGGGTATGCAGCAGTCTGGCTCTTTCCAACCATTGCTGAAAGCATCCAAGTTAAAAAGTTTACTTGGGAAGTAAATATTTAAGCGTTTGCAAAAAAACTGCATGCACAAATACATATTCCCTCACGTATGCATGTGTATATGTAATATATTACACTCAAGCGCACGGGGCAGGGAACTAACATTATGACCACGCTTGTGGAAATATTTGGAGTTCGCTGACTTTATGTAAACACTTTGGCCTTAAAGCCAGCGTGTGCAGTGACACAGAGCGTGCAGCAGCCCGGGCTGGCAGGCCCGGCCTCCTCGCGGCGCCCGCCCGGCTGCTGACCCAGCACGACGCAGCCCTGGAGAAAGCTCCTCGCCGAAACCTTGTGGAGAAGCAGAACGGTGTGAGAATCGAGCCAAGAGACCCAACGCTATTAAAGAAAGCCCCAAATCTAACCCAGACAATACAGCTAAAGGCTTTACCCACTTATTTTGAACGCACAAGTGATGTCCTAAAGGTGCTTTAAATGCCTTTTTTTTTTTTTTTTTCTGAACATTTTTCTTCCTGGCTGCTATTAGTTGAGCTATCATCCAGTTGGTTTAATATTCACTCTTCATCTCCAGGAATTATAACCCGCCCCAAGAAGCTCCTGGATTTGGTGTTCTCTACCCAGTTTTGCGTCACACAATTCCAGCTGCCAACTGAGAAATGGAAAGCATCCAGTTGACCCCTGCATCTGACCCAGTCTTTCAAGCCAAGGACCAAAGGCAGTAGCAAGATATTTTGGGACCAAGACAGGATGTGAGTCTGATGTGTTCTTCCCTCCAAACACAAACGGACTTCAAAAGAAGTGTACCGATGCAGAAGATCACACAGGCAATGCTCCCATGCACGGCCCTTTGTGGCAACAGCCAGTGGGGGAAATAAATAAAAATTCTTGGCTTAGTGGGGCAGGCTTAGTCCTTGCTACGGCTCAGTTGTGCTAACTAAGGGACCCAAGCGAGAAGCCACAGCTCTGGCTAAGCCCTGGCAGTGGCCCAGCGTGCAGCGAGCTGCCCTCCTTCCTCGGCGCCGCTGTGCTTGTCGGAGGTGAGGACACGGCAACACCGCGCAGCTTATGAGAGAGGAAAAAGGGCCGCTGCTTAAACAAGCAGGATAAAAAGAGGGGAGAACGATATTAAGTAATGAATAAAATTATCAATGAATTCAGACATGCACTTTCACAAACTGAACATTAGTGCATATGCACGTTATGCATTTATTTTTAATGTTCATCGCAACTGAAACTCTGGAACTTTAAATTAAAAAAAAACACCTAAACACTGAAATATTTCAATGCCATCAGTTCTCCATAATTCAGCAGTAGCAGTAACAAAGTATTTAGTACAAAAAGCAGGTCCACTGCTAACAAATGACCATGTTTTTTTAAAAATGTTTAGCAAGGGGAGGAAGAAGCAAGGCAAGCAGCCTTTGAAAAACTGCAGTTCTACAGAGTCACAACATCTCCCTAACATCATGCAACAACCTAACAATAAGACCTACCTAAAAAGTTTTTAACCCTTCCTTATGAAGGCATTTGGCCTCAGAACTAAGGCAACTTAAGGGCAGGTACCGCATAAATTTCAGCAGCTCACGGGGGTGGCCAGTTATCCAGTCTCTTCGAATCATGAGACAGTAAGTGAATGGAAACTGTAACAAAACTTATACTAAAAGGCAAAACAAACTGAAGAACTGAAATAAAACAGCTCAAGAGATTTTGCAGATAGTTATCTAGTTGTGTGGGGGGAGTGAACTGAGGATAAAACAAACGGTAACTTCAATAATTCAAGGATGGTTGGAGTGACTCTATCAAGAGATCATAACAGATCTGGGGCATGTGATTGCAGAAAAGTTGCATGACGTTCATTAACTGAGCTAGACTGGTGCTTCAGGAGGGACTGAAGGGTCGGAAAAGCAGTCCAAGCAGCCATTGTGCCTTAAAGGGACAATACGGTGACAATAATTTAGGAAGTGTGTGGGAATCAAGAGGTAGTTTGAAATGGCTGATAAAACCTGTTGCTCCAAGACATGCATGTACTTCAGGGAAGCACCACAGGTCAGCAGCTAGTGACCTCTCACACTGCACAGAGATCAAATCCAATGCACATGTGGCCAAAGCAGAGTGACTTTGAGTAAATGTGGTTACAGTTGCCTGAATTTCTCCGGGCAAAGTAGAGGGAAAACTTTATTTGAAGAACAGTAGTAGGAAAACTGTGGCTGGAGGGCACATTTACTGTCTTTCAAAAAATGTTCAGCTTCTTCTAGGCTAGAGATAGATCAGTGTGGCAGACTAAACTGCAACACAGTTGTATATATAAATGGCATAGTTATATTCCTGGGCACAAAATTTTAATATTAACTATGAGAAATCCATCCACGATGTCTTGGAAAGCTGTACTTATATCTTGCTTTCAATTTGTTTATCATAAATTGTCCTGCCTAAGTGTAATTAAAATATCCACAGCCTAGGCCATTGTGAGCCCTGCCATCTAATCAGGCTGAAACATCAGTCAGCTATAATTTTTTTTTATTTTCCTTATTTTCACAGCAATCCTGGTTGTGCTGGGGAGTGAAGCTATGAGTAGAACAGCTCCAAAACGTGGACGACAGGCATTTCCGTGCTGCTCCAGGGAAGGCACAGGTAATTATTCAAACTGTCCCCAGTTTTGTTCTTTGTCCATAATCAGCGCTTTGAGTTTATAAATAATGAAGCATGATTTCAAAGCCCTCAATTGTTCCAGGCACGGTGTTGTGATGGACTCTCCAAATGTGACTGTGCAAAAGAGAAGCAAAGCTGCACTGTATAAGCCTGCAACATACAGATGTGCGTAAGCAGAGCAAAACGCCAGGATGGAAAATATCATTAGGAAAACAACCTCTCTCATCATTATTTCACTGCTTTTTACCTAAAAAAAAAATAAACAATGGCCTATTGTCTTGATCAAACTTATGGTTCTGTTGCATTTTTTGTTATTGAAGGAACCAGCAGTTGGTCAGTGACAGCTTCCTGAGAAGCAGCAGCTTGAAAAGCTACATCAGCTTTGTGCTTAAGGCTTCCTTTGCTGCAAACTGAGGAAAAGCTATCCTGGAAAACCTAGGTTACTGTGGGAGATTAAAGTACCAGGTCTAAGATTCAACTTGCTTAAACACCCCAACTTCCAACACAAAACACACTCCACTTGTAGAGTAGTCAAAAGCTGCCGAATGAAGCAGACCAAACATCCGTCCTGTAGCACCCGGACTTTATGGATGTATACGTTCACAGAAGTTTGCTTTCTTAAAATTACAGCATTTACTCCTCTACCTTACTGCCCGCATCACGTCTCAGCAGGTACCTATGGACACCTATGGCAACTATGGCTTAGGCTTTGCAGGAGATCTGTGCCCACCAAGGAAACGGGTTCCGTATTAAAACCCCTTTGCAAAATATACGCTCCGTTCTTTCTCCACTTAATATCTTCCTCACTTGAAACTTGGCACTTGCCCAAATGCATCCAGAGCAACGCTGGGTGATAACTCAAAAATGTGCAGTTAATCTGTGTGCCGTTTCAGCTCCTGAATGCTGAGAGCTGAAATGTACTTTTTGAGAGAAATAGGCTTGCTCACACAGTCTCTTCATGTTTATGTAATTTTTAGATGACCGAGGATAAGGGAAATACTTATGTTAAACTCCTTTGAGAAGAGTCAAAAAGTTCACGATGAAAAAAATCACTTTTTTTTCAATATCATCTTACTCAAAAACAAACAAGTGTAAGCCTTTGTAGGGAGTTCTCTGTACTAGAGAGAGAAAAAAAAAGCCTACTTTTTTTTTTTTAAACCTTACAGCTATATATCATCATAAAAATTAGTCTGAAGAAAGAGTAAACTTTTGCTCTTTGGTCTGTCTTGACATTCCTCCAGGGACACATAACAGGAATATTTCAAATTCATTTTTCTCCTCTATTGGTAGAACGTAGGAAAGTTGCAGTTCTTATTTTCCAGGCTTCTGAAATGAAAAAGATAAAGAATTTTAAAGTTGAAACAAGATGCCTCCGCATTCTTTAAAGAAAAAAAAAAAAAAGAAATAAAAATACAAGTACGACAACCTAAAACGTTTGCAATGTTTTAGTGCAATTACATTTTTTTGCCTTCAACCTAATATAAAGAAGTTTTACTTATGCCACATGCCCCTTCCACTTGTGATGTGTGTATCCCCACTTGGATACAAGTCCTGTGCTCATATTCAGGAATGACCTGGGCTTTAGATTGCAAGGCATAGTGTGAGAGCCCCACCGAAGGAGTGCATAGCCACGTACTTGGCAGCTTGCAACCCACTGAGCTCAAGCGAGCAAACCCAGAAGCGCGAGCTACCCAAAGCCCAAGGGGCACAGGCGCAGCGGGCACCCGCTGCAGCGCCCATCGAGTCAGAGGGATCCTTGGAGCCCCAGCGGGTTCTTAACATGTTACTTTCACCAAGGGGCTCAGGTTCATTAATTCGCCTTACTGTGCAAATAATGCAACATTTTAGTCTTTCTGCTGGAAGAACGGCCTCCTTTGAAGTAATTTTTATTTCAACTGGTGCTATCTACAAGTATCTCACACGGAAGCAATCTCAACTTCTCTCTTGCTGTACTGGTGAGGCAGTTCAGGTTAAACAGGGTAATGACCAGTGATGAACAACGAGGAATATTCCTTTAGGTTCACTTCCACACTTTTATATGCTTGGATGTTTCTAATAAAATACCTAGCTCCAACAGAGAGAGCATAATATTGTATGTACTAAGTATTAGCTATCTGTTGATGGAAAAAGAAAAAGAGATGACTTTCCCAACTTACATTTTTTGCTTGGTTTTAATAATTGGCATTCTACATTATTATTATTATTATTATTATTATTATTATTATTATTATTATTATTATTATATTATTTTTGTGAGAGCTATCATCCTCTTGGCTAACACTGAAGGCATGAAGAAAAATCAGAGGAACTAAAAAACTCAGTTTTAGCACAATTCTAGCAGCAGCAATTTCTCTCTTGCTGTATCACTTTCATAAGCCTCATGAAGCTGCACATTGCAGGGAAGGCCATCAACTGCTCATTAAAACAGCTCTCTTCAATTATTCAGTTATTAGCTGTGTGTTTACAGTGAAACATCTGCAGCTCTTGGACTAATCTCTGAATATTTTTCAATCAGCACATCCTAAAGATTTGAGTCAGTTCTAATGAGCTGGCAGAACCTGCATTATTAGAAATCTTACGTTGTACCTAAACCTTACAAAAGTAATTCTAATGAAACAGGAAGAAAAAAAAAAAGTTACTGAATCTGTCATCAGAGAAACAAATGCACAAGTCCCTCAAAGTGTAGCGTGGTCACTAAGACCACCATGTGCTGCTCTTATTTCAATGAGCTGCTATGGGAAAGTAAACTCAGAGAGCAACTCTCTAACACTCCCAAGCAAGTCAGGAGTAAATGAGCACAATTTATTTTGGGGTGACTAAAAGGTCTCCTGATTTCTTCGGGCCAAGTTCCTTCACAGCCAGGAGTGGTACAACTCCAGAGACAGTTCCTGGCTCCTCCTGACAAAGCTGGGGAAACAAAAAAAACAAAACCAAAAGGCACCACCAGCTCATATCAGCAAAGGGTGGGCCACCATTCAGCAAATGAGAACCCCTCATTACGAAATATTTCCCCCAATCCCTTCTGATGTCCTCTGTGGAAGGAGGTCCATACAAACTAACAATCTTTTCTACATGCACCCTAAAGACAAATGGCCTGGCCCAAACTGGAAGGGAAAACGGGAGCCGTTGACCAACCTGGTGCTGGAGCTCGCTCTCAGAAGAGCCCTTTCACTTGCTCTGTGGCGGGGTCAAGGTCGATGTCGTAGAAGCAAGGCCTCGTGGGCAGCCCCGGCATGGTGCTCATCTGCGGGAGCAAGGAAACTAAGTTATCCGACGGCGTCGGTAAGCACGTAACCGCTCCATGCAGGTAAATCTGAGATGAAGAGAGGGGCTGGACTGTGCGTCGTGGACTCTGTTACAGATGGGATTTTCATTACATTTTTGGTTCTGCTAAAAATATCAAGCTTCAAATATTCTGAATATTTGATTTCAATTCATTTTTAAGGTGTATGCTTCTAAAAGAGAAGATGAAAGCTACAAAATACAGGCTGGTATCAAAGGCTGAGGGAGCTGGGCCTGTTCAGCCTGGAGAAGAGGAGGCTGAGCGGGGACCTGATCAGCGTGTATAAATACCTCAAGGGAGGCAGTGAGGAGGAGGGCGCGGCCTCTTTTCAGTGGTGGGCAGCGACAGGACTAGAGGAAACGGCCACAAACTGAGGCACCAAAAGTTCCACAGGAACTTGAGAAAACACTTCTTGACAGTGAGGGTGACAAAGCACTGGAACAGGCTGCCCTGAGAGGTTGTGGAGGCTCCTTCTCTGGAGATCTTTAAAACCCGCTTGGATGCAGCCCTGTGCCATGTGCTCTAGGTGACCCTGCGTGAGCAGGGGGGTTGGACTCGATGACCTCTGAGGTTCCTTCTAACCTTAAGCATTCTATAATTCTATGATTCTAGTATAAACTCTTTGATAATGTTAAGACTCTTTGAGAACTATTTGTGCCTCGGTACTTCTACGACGATATTCACACAGCAAAGAGCAAGGAGGAAACTGCCTAAATTCACCTGGTAATACTATATCTCTCTACCTGATACTTTACCTCTCTGTGTGCTAACGGCTGGAGGTCTTTCCGAAACAGAATCAAAATAGCAGAATTAGTCACAACACTTCCATGACTGATCGCTTCACGTCAGGAGGAATTTGAAATAGTTCAACTAAACATATATGCATTATAGCTGAATCCTAATTCGGTAGTTAGAATTAGTAGGTTGACATTCAGAGCTAAAACGGCCCAATTATCTGAAACTATGCATAACTAAGGCCATGATCTAGCATAAAACTTCAGCAGTTGCATACTTTTCAACATGGGAATAGTTTTATGGATTTAAATTACAGTTAGCAATGGCTCTGTTCACGCTGCCTATTATTTACAGTTGGCATTTTAGCAGCAATTGAAAATACATGGGTAACTTAGAAATCAGGGCATGCGGGTCAGCTATAGTTTAAGCCACTTTACATCAGAGGTGCTGCAGGTCCTCCCCTCCACACCTCAACACTTCCATGTTCTCCCTTAGGAAAGGGAGGCCTAGGAAGCAGGTTCAGCTGATACTTTTTTGTTGTTTGTTTCATTTTCTCAAGTTTCAGCACCTTGAGCCAGTTCTGTGGGTCTAATGGCAGCACTGGCACAGAGGGGATGAATGTAAATGTGGGGCAGGTTTAAGGCACGGCCAACATGGATCAGTTCTAACAACTATGGATTTACAACCTATGTCTCACTAACATGACAGAAACCCTTAATATCTTGCCTTATTCCAAAAAACCTCAAGGCAGTCTAAAAATGGCATTTAGGCTAATGAACCTTATAAACACTTTGAACACTTGAACCTCAGAGGTAGAGGATGGCCTTATTGTACAAAATTGTACAATAACACCTAAACACAGGAAGGGCATTTCAGCCTCTGGAAACAAGATTAAAATTGGCATCAAATCAATTCTGGGGGTAAAGGCTTGAAGCATTAGCACTTCTTAAATAACTAGTAGATTTGGACCAACATTTCAGCTGCGGCAAATCAGCAGAAGATTTGACCACAGAAGTTAATCCTTGTGCTAAAAAAAGGGAAAACCAAAACCACATGGGCTTGATTGCCTGAAACACTCCAGCCACAACGACCTAAGACCAGAGATGTTGTGGCACACATGCTTGTGCCACAACTGAGTGACACCCACTGAAGGGGGAAGCTGAGGGAGCCCTGCATCCCCTCTGCAATAACCCCTCTTTGGAGTTAGGCTCTGCAACAACTTCCCCCCAGAAAAACTCAACGGATGAAAATACACATAGATATGGCTCTGAACGTGCCAAGGGGGTGCCGAACTCACCATGCCGAGCAGCCGGCACGTGGTTTGGGAGCCGTCATCGCTCAGCGCTGGGCCTGTGGCCCCGCGGGGACAGAGCTCAGCAAGGACACGGCCAAGGGCGAGCCAGAACAAGCTCAGAAAGAGAAAAAAGAAAAAAAACAATCCAATAACACCAGCCCAGCTGCTCCCAAAATCCATACCTACAGGCCCCTCTCTGTCTGGAGCGGGCTGTATTTCTTTTTAAGCTGACCTTTTCTGCTGCATGTTCAGCTGTTTAGTTAGCGTTGTCCTTGCACTTCAGCTACGCTCCCAAGCCCAGGGTAATGTTTCCGCCAAGGGAATACAAAAGAAACTGTAATATCTCTTTGTGCCCCCCTGCCTCACCCCAAGGCCTGTTTATTCCTGCGAGCTGACTTGACTCCCAGTTCCGAGGTTAATCCTGTGCTTGGGAAGGGGGAAAAGGAGCTTGGAGAGCACAGCACTGATGCAGTTGTCGTATTTGCAATCTTCTTCTGAGGGAAAACAAAGCCATGAGCTCCTTCAGTGGACTCTGTGCATTTCCTCTGTTTTAAAACTAGTCCTTCCTGATCTTTTGTTACTGCACACAGCAGACTAAAAGACAAAAATATCCATCTGCATTAGCCAAAACCCTTCCAACTGTCCTATGACATCATTTTACTGACTGCCTTCAGCGTGGCATCCCAGCTAAGGAATAAAGCACCTTGTTGTTCTTCTGGATCTATTGGCCACATGAGTCAAGCAGCTAGATTAGCAGGGTTACTGAATTACTTTCTGCCTCAGGCTTATCCCAGTTTATAAATTAATTCCTGACAAAAAATTAATGAATTCCAGTTTACTGGGAGGGGTTGAACAAGCTGCCAAAGACAACTTTCTGGGTACTCTGGATATGGTTGCACTACATCTCAAAGTCAACTCCCAAATTCCATGTTCCTTTCTTCAGGATAACCACAAGCACAGCTAGTCTTCATGCTCTATATAGAATATAGAATACAAATAAGAATCAGTTTAGTGGAGTTTTTCTTCGATAATTTTTAATGAAATGCTAACAAATTAATATATATATGTTTATTTTTTATTTTATTAAAGCCATAGGCCCAGTCCTATAGCAGTGTGACTCTACTATATTAACTAATGGACATCTATTTTCATTTACCAAAATGGTATTTCAATAGATTGCAAATATCAAAACAATTTATTGCCAGTTCAGGGAGTATTACTGTTCTCATATTGAAAATATAAGCCAACACAAGGGAATAACTTCACCTCAATTAAAATTAATGCTATATAAAAAGAAGCACAAGGCAAAAAAAAAAAAAAAAAAGAAAGGAAAAGAAGAGAAAAGAAAAACACACACACAGAAGAAACATTTGGGAACTAAAACCTATGTGAAATACAGAGTGAAAATAAAACACATCTTGCAATTTTCCCCAGGGCCCAGAGTTCCAGATAGGAACTGTAGAGCCATGTAAATTTATGATCATTTCTCTCCACTCTCATTATTCAGACACAGAGGTAAAAGGCAGCAGAATCTATCCTTCCTTTTCATTACTTCAAGGTCAATAGGAGGAGATGGCTGGCTGACTGAGGAGATTACTACCAGTTATTCCCCCGCCAGCTCTATTCCTTTCCCACAGCCAAAAAGACACGAGAGAAAAGATGGCTCAGTCGGCTGCAAGGCTCAATCAAGTCTTTCCTTGACTGACTTTCCACTTGGCTGCAGATTCTAAATGATCCTGGTCCCTTGGGTTGTTTTCCACAATGCTGGTGCCAGAGAAATACGCAGGAAATGCAGAGTCACGCAGCAGACTGAACTGCAAGGCATCACATGCCCTCCACACCCTGTATCGAGATCAGTGCTCTGATAGGGCTCTAGGGCAATGCCATTTTTGATATAGTTTGGCAGCTATGCAACACTCCACAGCGTGGCTGAGTACAGAGCTGCATTAGGAGCAGGGAATGAAAGCACGTTATCTCCTTAAGAGCACTAATTGAATTAAGGTAGCCAAAAAAAAAACCAGTTCTTCAAATCAATCAAAACTGTTGCTCTTATATTTCTCTTGGGAGAAGAAATATATAAAGTAAAAACTTTACACTTTTAAGATTTAATGCAGCATATATGAATACTTTATGCAGAAAAAAAAAAAGGAAAAAAAAGAAAGAAAAAGGAGCAGGGTGAAGAATTCATCCAAATGCTGGTCAAAACACAACATGGTAGGAAATAGTTTTGTAGAAATTCACTAGAATCTATCATTTCTTTTATAAACTGTGCAACTGCCTACACATACATGGAAATAATTCTGCTCCAGGAAGACTCTGTGGAAAATGCAATGCATGTTTATTACTATACTACTCCATGTTTTGGAAGGAAGCTATTATTTTGCAGTTGGCTATCCTGAGGATCATTCAAGTCTCTGGAAATTCAAAGAAGAAGAAAGGTCTTAGAAGAACTTTCATGGAAGAAAAAGTACAATTTTAAGTAAGAAAGTCCAAAGGCTGCTGTTATTTATACTAGGCATTTTTGATCTCCCATACATGTCTAAACAACAACAACAACAAACATTTAAGGAGCTTCCTTACAAAAGGAAGGTGATGGCTATTCCTAAGGAAGCTGCAACAATGCACTGTTCCCCACCTGAAGCTGCAGGGGAATATGTGCTAGTCAGTGCAATCTGCCTGGAGGTTTAAAGAAATGCTGGTCACTAGAGAACCCCACTTCCAAGCAGACACCCAGTAAACTCCATTTAAACTATAGCTGCATGCTGACTTGCAATTTTAGTTGACCACAAGGTCTATTTAACAGCTGCACAGTCAAGTTCTAAAACTTTGCTAGCCAGGTTTGTCATGGTTCCCAAGAGGAACTATTCTGCTTAATTTCCCTTTTTTATTGTACAAATGCCTATCAGTGGTTGACATATCCTGCCTTTTACTT